AATAACAATACGTTAAATTTAATGTTTAATTATCATTTAATCACAGATATGTCAATTATTTAGGTTTAATATAATACAAAATTCTTCTCTTTCAAAATTATTTTAATGATATATGTAAATGAAAACTTCTAAATTAATATGAAAAATTTTTCTGACTTCATATAAAATTATGTCAAACAGATTAGTATATTTTGGTCCACTGTATTTCATGAGAATTTGGATTTACTTATAAAATGTACGATATAAAAATGGAAAGCAATGCAAATGAGTGAAAAAAGTGTAAAAAGTGAATGAACAAATGCAAAAGACAATTACACGTTGAAAATAAAAAAGTTAATTGTGTGCAGCTCTTTTGCCATTCATGTAACCTATCCATCTTTCTGCTGTAGCGGTAAAAATTGAATCATTATCAATTGAATTTAAGAGAAGAAGTTGATTGATATGAGTAGAATGATAATCCCATCTAGCTAAATTTGGAGCTGTTTTTAATGTAAAATGACGTAAATCATATGTAGTACCAGAGCCTGTATCATACAAAGTTAATATATTTTTCAATGAGGTCATACCCTGACTAAAAAGGCGAGATGCTTCTTCAGCATCCTTTCCTGTGGCTATACTCTTTAAATCATACAACCCAATTAGAGAATAAATAAACCCATTAAGTACAAAAGAAGAGGGTGTTGTAGGGTATTCTTCATACCATACATATTTATCTAGGAATACTGCAGCGACTCCTCCCTTGTTAGAGGATAATCTAAAAGGTTGTAAACCTCTAATAGCAGCTTGTAAATATTTTTCTTCGTTGGAATGATAATATGCCCGTGCTAATACAGAAATAGCATGTCCTTGTCCCATACTGGAATACCTACAGTCATTATAAAATATGTCATTACTTAAAAAGTGATATTAATTAGTGTTATACAATTTAATATATTTTTATAAATGTACCATCCAGGCTCAAGAGTAGCCATTCCAGGTGCTACCTTTCTTCTAACAGGATTTGCCCATCCACCTGAACTAATATTTTGATTGGTTACAAACCATCTCGCTGCATCATAAAATTGTTCCATATGCTCACTTGTAGACAATGTTATATTATCAATCATTCCAGACCCATACAAAGTTATTTTTATCATCTGTAATGTATAGAACATTATTAATATGAAATACATGATTTTTTTCATTATACTTTATATATTCTGAAAATAAAACTTTAAATTAAAAATAATTGATAAACACTATGTATTTGTGTATTACCTTTAGTTTAGAACGAGACAATTTTTTTTTATTTTTATCATTTAAGTATAAACCCTTCTGTAGATCAATCACCAAGTCCCTAGTATATCTTTTCCACTGATGGTTAATTTGACCAATTCCATAGTATATATGGTTATTGTAAGCATACAGTACTATATTACTAGTAATATAATGAAGGTAATATACTTCCTTCCTTTCCCTAGACTGTAATGTAACCATGATACTACCATTTTCTTTAATATTAAAATCCCATTTTAATACAAAGTCCAAGACGTGATCTAATTTTAGAGTAATTCCAGAAGTACTAGTTTCTGGTGTAGCAAACTTCATTATATGACTGTTAGCATGTTTATCAAATACTCTAGATACAATGGATCCCTGAGGTATAGTCCATTCTCGTTTAATTTTATCTGAATCTTCAATAATCTTTTTTCGTGGTTCTGGTTCTGTTAAATTTTTACTATAATGAGATAGACCAAATTGAGCAATTTGAGTAGGATAATAATATCCCTGGCTTTCCCATTGTGTAGATATTGGGACACCATCGTTTCCACTGATGCATTTAACTCGTTCTCGAACTTCAACATTATAATTCTCAAAGGTCATGAATACTCCTCGTGGATCATATTTTCCTTTAGGATTAACAATTTTTGAATAACTATGCAACCACTCAAACCTTTCTAAACCATCATAGGTTGCTAATTTCCCATAAATCTATCACATATTACAAAAATAAGTAAACAAATAATGGAAATTATGTAATTAATTTGTAACAATAATATTTACCTCAAAATACTTATGGATAAATGAAAATGGTATATACACTTCATCTCCTTCTTTACGACAACCAATTGAATAATCACCATTAATGTGACAATCTATTTCTTGATATCCACTTTCTAAAGTTTGTCGATCCTTTATAAAAATTTGTTGTGTTTAAATTAATAAAATAAATATACATAATATAGTAAATACTAAATAGATGTTGAATTAAAGCAATACACTATAATTCTCAAGCAGTAAATTTAAAAATATACTTTTTATTGTATAAAAATTTCTAAAGAGAAAATACCTCAAAATTTATGACAAATTTATATATAAGATTTAAATGACAATATTGACTTACTCTATGTTGAAATTTCGTTTTCCATTCAGTACTTTTAAAAAAGAATGGATTACCACAATTACTCCATGATGTTAATATTGAACTTAATACTGCAACTACTATTACAAGCAATATTGTCTTAAAGTTCAGCCGCATCATCCTATAAATTCTGATAGTTTAATTTAACATTTGTAAGTATCAAAAAGAACGATATAGCTTCATTATCTATAATTATTTTAAATTAATTAAAAATTACTTATAAACTTACTTGTATATTGTGCAAATTTTTGTCTTATTTTTTGTCAATAATAACTTTCATTGAAGTCAAATATCACATTCCCCATTTTTGGAAGTTGTAAATTACTAAAAGACATAATCAATCATAAGAAAACAACAAGAGAAACATGTTTACATTTACTTACAGGTTTTTCATTACTTACATGTATTCACCCCTTTTATGGAAATACAGTTTATGTTTTCCACGGGGTTTATTCTGTATTTGATCATTGATGACTGTGAATGTCAATAAGTGTTTTATGCATCTTACTCGTATTCCTTGAGTAGGTAAATATCGTATACACTTGATATTCTATTTACTTTTGTTGTGTATACTGTTTACTGATTTGATAAAAACAGTGCATGCATTCTAACTTTTAATAAAATAACTCACGGGTGTCTAACTGGGAATCCGCAAGCTCCATAGTGACTTTCCCCTCACGCAGAATTACCCTCTCCATACCTATTTCACCTGTTGAATTAAACACAAATAGTGTTATACACAGAGATCTGCTCACTTACACAATTTCAGGTAACTTCTAGCGTAGAGGTAGTAGGGGAACCACTGATCGGAGTCACTAGCTGAGGAAAAGCAGTTCGACACCTTCGAAATAAATTACGATAACATGAAAACAGGGTTTATGCCTAATATAATTTACAATTATAAAAGACAATTTAGCCATACTGTGGTTAAAACCGAAATTGTAATGAAATTATATGACTATTTACATTCTGTTTTGATATGTTTTCTGATTATTAATGCGATTATTACAGTCTTAATTATCTAATACATGTAGTGTATGATTGTAGTTAGTTTTGTGATATGTACTTATATATTGTAAGTTTTATTATAAACAATGATCTTTTAAATTATTAATAAAACAGTTTTATATCATTTAATATACTGGATTGTAATATATATTATCACTTTTGATTATCAATTTGCGAAAATTGGCGCGTCTAAATTCGTTGGCGCAAGCGCATAAGTTCTATTAAGGCACGTTCACAATACACTTAAAAGCTTTTAACTCCATCTGTGAGTCGTAGTATACAATGGAATGTTCAATATACCTAGTGTACTAAGGAAATTTATAAGAGATGGAGCTAAGTGGAATATTGAAATATTGTTAAATAGGTATGTGCAATACATCCAGAGGATATTTTGAATTTGTATATATTCGAAATGACCATTAATATGCCTCAGTTAGATTATGAAAGGGAGATATGCGTGGTTATTAAACCTCCGTTTTTCAGCGTTCCGCGAAGTATGCATTGGTAGCTTAGCATAAGTCCTTTTACTTCCCTCCTTCATGTAGTATTCCTGCTTCTGTAATACTTAGGTTTAATCAAAATTCAGAGTAACTCGGACAATGTGTTTATAATATCTATGTACACGCTAAACAGCTTTTATGGCATTGTACTTCATTCATTGAATAAGTAAGTTTCAGAACCATATCCTTATGTCAGTAGATCTTACTAATGTATTATTGCTATATTTTTAAATTTAAAAGCTTTCAATTTTTAAAAATCAATCATTTTCAATTATTACTAATCAATAGGATTAACTAAAATTTTCTTTATGACAAGGATTTGACATTTGAGTGATAAGTACGAAGACTTTTTTCTTAAGATCGTTAAGAATACAAGTTTAACAAATACAAAGTTGTTGTTGCATATTCACTTAAAAATAAAAATGCTGTGCAATATTTTATTATATAGAATTTCAAAAATCTAGAATCTTGTACATTTTTTATATTTTCATTTCAGGATCTGGACCAGTAAGACTATCTAACAGCATAATTAAGTATAAGTAGTTAAAAGTATTTCTATCTGGTAAGCAGATATGTTACAATATGATTTTAAAATTAACTGTTTTTCTTTCATAAATAACACAATGAATTTTAAACATAAGAAAATACATATAGTTCTTTTAATATTTAATGATACATAAGTCAGTTACGTACATTTGATACTTGATAATAATT